CCCCCCCCCCCCCCCCCCCCCCCGCCCCCCCCCCCCCCCCCCCAGCGGCGTCAAGGTTCAGTTTTGTCTAAACTAGAAAGTGATAGATTATGAAGTGCTTCTCAGCTTCAATTTTCTATATAAAAAATATAGAATAAAAAATATGTTGAAGTAAAACTATTTCCTGCAGACATGACAAGACCATCTGCCATCATGAAGAATGACTCTTATGACCTACAGAATACCTTGGTCTCCAGTCATCTCAACAGGAAAAGTAAGCAATAAAATGACAGCTACATACATGGCAATAACAACAGAGCTGCTAACATTCCCTGGTAGAAGAAAGGTAGAGTGGGTTTTCTCAGGTTCCAGCCACTACCACTTTCCTCACTCCCTTCAGTTCTGTGTGGTCTGAGGGAACAGGGTGAGAAAGTATATTAAAGACAGAAGGCTGACTAGAAGTTAAGACTTCAGTGATGCAGCTCTCCAGAATGGGGACCTTCTGGTGATATGGCTAATTTCTAGCTATCCATACTATTAAGTAACCTCAATAAAATTATCAGGCCACCCTTAAAAGAAGTTTCTTGAGCCTCTCGGTGCCTGTCTGGGGAGAACAGATGGTTCTTTATGGCTTCTGAGAGAGCATAAGCATAAACTTAACTTTAGGTATGATGGCTGATACACTACAAAATGATAACTGCTTTGTGCTTGTTTACATTTCTAAGAATGCCAAAACAACTGAATAAATGTCATTCTTTATCTAATAGCTAAAGAACACTGGAGGTGATGTGATCATTGTCCTGGGTCAAACAGTGTTCAAATCAATTCCTTTGCCGGGGGCAAAGGCTTCATGAAAACTGAACAGGGGATGGTGAGATGGCTCATCCGGTAAAGGTATCTGCCACCAAGCCTGATGATTTCAGTTAGATACCTAGAGCCCACTTAGTGGACGGAGACAATGAAAACCTTTGACCTCCAAGTGTACATAGTGGCATGTGCCCCACCCGATAGGCAAGATAAAGTTTGTAATTTAAAAAAAAAAATTGTCAACAGGAAATGCAGATGTTTAGAAATCCAATCATTCAGTCAATATGCTCAGTGAATATACTGTACTCAGAAATTTTGCACTGGAAGAATTTAATGACAAAGAGTGTGGATCAAAATCCTATCCCTTTAAAATGAATAACTACTTCAACTAAACATATACATAAAATGCATCAGTAACTGTGAGAAAAGGTAAGCACCATAATGGACTGAAAACCTAGCCATGAGCTGGCATGATACCAAACACTCAAACCTTTAGTATGCACTGCATAAAATCCACACGTTTAACTTTTTATTCTAGGGTCTATCATTAATGGCAGAAAAACTGCATTATTTGCAAGTTTTGGAGCACTTTTATCTAAACTCAGCCTTTCAAAGAAGCAGCCTAGATATGATACTGACGTTAAAACATCTGAAGGAAGACTTCCTGTTTCAGTAAGTTACCTACAGGCTACACTTACTGAAAGCTTCAATGAGACAGCATTTTTCAAAGAACCCATAGCTCTTAGTTAAGAGTCACACAATTAAGGAAACATAAAGGGTTTAATCATCTTTCTAATTGTCAAGCTTTCTTGCCCTAAAATGAAAGCAGTGCACATATCAATTACTACCTGAACTTTATTTCTTAAAATTTAGTAAGAAGAAACTGAGGCAGAAGCTGGATAGCTCAGCAAATAAGAACAGAGCAGAAAGGACCAAAGTTCAGTCTGAGTGTCCATGTGAGTGGCTCACAACTACCTCTAACTC